TTAATCATTGTAATAATATTATGAAAACCGATTTAAACCCACAATGGCGAACATAATATTTTCAGACATATAGTAATATACGTACAGAATGTATCACGTCGTTCTGAAAATTTTAAATTTAAACATTTCAGAACTATAAGTGGTTATACATTTAGTAGGTATATATTTTATTTTGAATGGAAMAATATTGGTCAAAAACATTTCATCGAAAGATAGTTMTTTTACCRGGAGTTTGTAATTCGCAACAAAACAAAGGTATGTAATTTGCACCACCGTTGGGTGTTGAAAATAGTGTTTGTAATTTGCACCAAAATGAATATCTATAGTGATGGACACTATCGATAGTTATTGTCGATAGTACGGACTTTCATAAAAATTTACGTGTGCTATTTTATATTATTATTTTTTTAATTTAGCAAATTTTTTTATAATTTATAACAGACTACTGACAATGTATATCTCATATTATACTTCACTATTACAATTTGTTGGATTATTCTTTCGATAGTACCTATCTTATTGTAATTGATTTTAAATTTGGTGCTAATTACATTTCCTATTTCTTACTACCAGAGATGGTGGTGAGATGGTAAATACCTTTATTTGGGTGCAAATTACAAACACTGTTTAAAAATGTTGGTGCAAATTACACATGTTGTAAATATTTATTAGGAAAAATTTTGGTGCAAATTGACTATGCCTATTTTACCTATTATTATGTTTCAAAGTACGTTTCATCAATAACAAAAATATTTTGTGTACTTTGATTAAGATTTTTTTTTATAACTTCAAAATTAAAATATATCAGATTAAGTTGTAAAAATATTTATATTTATTAAAGTGTATTTTTGTAAAAATTATAGATGGATTTTGGTGTTGTTTCGATTATTTTAAAAATCGAATTTTACGGATCTACGACACAAAAAAGTTATATCACAAACAGTCAATTGCAGTATTCGTTTGCAGTAAATAACATATATTTATTTGTATATTATATCATATATAATTAATATTATAGTTTTATATCACAATAAAGTTGTATAGGTAGTTAGATAATAATATTATATAGTAGTTGAGGTATATATAATACGTATATATATATATATAATATAATATGAAGCTTGTGTCCTGATTAATAATAATGATTTATGGTGCACGGGGGAGATTTAAAAACAAAGCATTGCAAGTCTAGGTAACCGCTTCATTATTCTTCGGTTCAAAATCGGCAGTGGCAGTTATTATGTATTGATAAAAATGATTAATATAATATTATAATCCATCAGCAGCTATAGTCTCTCCACGCCCTGCAGACGTAGTCGTGCGTGGAAGCGATGTGGTTGATTATGATGGCGATATGGTGACCGCTATTCATGCATATTACGATGGAACTTAATGTTTTACGAAATTTTATAGCTGCCGAATGAATGATATACTAGGTAGGTAAACTAATGTTCGTTCATGAATTCGATGATTTCGCTTTTCTTGCCATCCGTGTCGTAAATCTGCATGATCTTCTCGAAATCATCTCGCCTGTACGTGTAAATGTGTCTCAGCACTAACCGCGCCATGTCCTTTTGCCTAGGCGTGCACTTTCCGCACACGGTACGTATGATCTCGGGCAACAGGTACACTGTAAATAAAAAAAAATATATCGTCAGCTGTTAACAATTTTAGCGGACCCCCTCTAATATTATGTAGGTCAAGTCGCGCCTGCGAGAAGCTATTATGGTGCGAAAAAAGTGTGTGTACGACGAAAAAATAACCAAACACAAGTCGCCGTATACTAACCTCGAACAATTATTGTTTATAAACTTTTTTTTTGTTATTGTTATTGCACCTAAATGATAATTATTTTAGGCGTTCATAGGTATGCCTAAATTACATCTTTCTAAAATATGCCTCTTCGTTTGACAATCAAAGRCGAAACGGGTCAMAKCACTGAATCAAACTGCACCGTAATATCGTAATAATAAGTATTACGTACCCATAAAATATATTATTATCATAATACAGCGGTTCTCWAACTGTGCACCGTGAGCACTTTCTAAAGGCACCCCAATCTACAGCTCATAATAAATAGTTCAAAATGTATAGAGATTTTTTTGAAAATTTGTTATTAATGAGTTGTTTTTTTTTTGTCCCATCTTTTTATGCGATGTTCAAGCAATAAGACACCGTGTCCATCATAATATTAGGTCCAAAAAAGGGCACCGTGAGAATAAAAAATTGGGAACCGCTGTTTTAGTTAATCGGCACAAAAAAAATTCTATTCCAGCTAGTACGACAATTATTATTATTCTCATCGTGATCAACGTCGTCGTCGTCGTCGTCGAAGTGGCACGAACAACACGTGTTGCGAGTGAGCTCGTCTCTCGTTTACACATAGACATATGTATATTAGGTTTATACTGGCATATATACCAGTATACCACGACTGTAATCCGCAGTTAATGATGTATTTTCGTGTATACAGTTAATAATTTACGTTGGCTATTAATTTATTGTGTTTGACCTTTCGTTCATTACCGACAACATTTTAAAGGTCGACGCATGTGCCTAGCTGCATGGTTCACGTGYTTATAAATGAATAAAAATAAAATAAACCGCATTATCGAAATAATTGGGAAAAAAAACGATTTAACATAGTTCTGTCGTATATAATAATATTTTTAGTACCATACATATGACACGAATGGACTTCCGAAACGTTGTCGCACCATTGCCTACTAATGCAATTATTATTGCAGGTATAAATGTATAATAGACTTATTAATATAATATTTCAAAACGATGTATTACTGATCATTCGGTTCAAAATTCTATCTCATTTTCTGAATGGTGTTGAGACGAATGTTCAAATGTTTTTTGATATAACATTCGTTTCTGTGTATCTAATATTATAACAAATTTTCAAAATTGCCAACAGTTTTGAACGACTCGCACATGGCACATAATACATAATATGTATATATATTTTTTTTTAAATTCAATAACCTATTTGTGTTTCCTGTTACCTTATGTTTAGTTTGATTTTTATTGCAGGTTTGTTAGTCGACGATACAATAATCGTCGGTATTTTTTTTTTACTTTATACGATAATGTGTCTGTTAGAACTAAAAATATTTTTGTCAGCATTTATTCCCTATATTTGAGTAGGATTTACTCCCACCCGACCGACGATAACTAGTTTATCCCCTCCCATTTATTTATGTGCTCCGTATTTATCTTTAAACCTTGTACGACTTGTGATGTTATCACGTCCAACACCAGCGCTCATAGTCGGTAAAGTATATTATAATTTACTAAATTGTTGATTAATATATCTACGAGTATACAGGGTGATTTTTTAAGCATGCTCGCCCCATTTTTATGCTTAAA